TCATTTCTAAATCCCATCTTATACGGTCAATATTATTGAGCCAATATCGAATATATTGACCCCCTGAGGGATATATTTTAACAATTATATTGACGTTTGTACTATGTAGTCAACGTTCCAGAATATTGCTTAAATATTATTGATTCAATAATTGATTCAATCAGGGAAGAGGTGCTGCTGTGTACTGTTCTTTCCCATGCCTGTCATGTCATTATTTCTCGTATTTCAGCACATTTCCTGATGGTCGACACAAGTTGGCAGGTGCAAATAAATATTTTAAAAAAATATAATCAACTTAAAATGAATAAAAAAATTAGGTTGTTCATTAGAAATATATGTATATACTTAATATTACATTAGTAAAAAGAAAGTATATAGTGTAAGAACGTTGAATACTGACTAAAGCTACGTATTTACATATCAAAAACATATAATCTCGTTATCAAAATTAGTAAAAATTTGCATGAAAAAGAGTCCAACATTATTGTCCCCAAGGAAAGCCCACTAATGACGTCATAATGCCGAGGCAAATGAAGACAAATGACCACCAGCTGAGGATCTATTTTCAATATTTATTCTCAAAACTGAGGGGGGGGCGGAAGGAAGGAGGCCCACGAAATTATACGAATTCATTCTGTCAACTAAAGTTTCATTAAATTCACACTGAGAGAATTATAAAATGTCTAAAATTTTCACTAAAAAACTTATAGCATATTTCGAATATGAGTGGACAGACATCTGTAATTTTAAAAATATTGAGGAAAGAGCAATTTTTGTGATATGGCTTTAATTTAAACTAATTCTAATGATTTTTATTTTATGATTCAACTTGAACCAATCTTGAATAAAACCATCAGAAACTGTTTTAGTTGAACCTATAAAATAAAAACTGACTTTTTCTCCTCTTTCTGTAACTGTCAGATGTCCGTCTTTGATTGAAGCTACTAATATGGTTTGGAAGCAGATATAAAAAATCTGGTGTGTCCGCTCATATGACTTTTCTACCTATTTCAGAAAAGTTTTTTACCTTTACATATGTCCATCAAGTGAAAAAAATTGGAGCATCCAATCTGTATCACAGACATCAGTAGTCAAAACACCACAAAATAAAAAAAGAAGAAACAAAATCGGTTCACTAGTTCCCGAGAAAATCTTGGCACAGACAGACAGACAGATAAACAGACCAATGGCTAAAAATGTGTTTTTCGGGCTCAGTGGGCTCTGAAACGTATAGATCCGTCGAAAACCGAATATCGGAAATTTGACCCGATACTAATACTTTTCTTACCTAGCTAGGAATCGAAATTGAAATTAGCGATTCATGAATGAAATTTCTTTTTTTTACTTGAAAAATTCTTTAGGCGTGTTTTGCATTTTTTTATGGAGAGTGAATTAGATTGTGCCATCGGATTTCTGATATGAAACGCTCGAGTAAAGTCGACTTGAATCAATTAATTGAAATGTTTTTGCATATGGAACAAAATATCTCAAAAATTAAAAATCACACTAGCATATTTTCAGCGAGAGATATGTTTATCATTGTATCCTCTCTGTAATCAGCTACTATTCAAAATTATATCTTAACATGACGCCGTGTTAGGAAGGCGAAAAGAAAATCAGAAACTAAAAATCGGACCAGCGTACTGTAAGCGAGGGAATCGTTCTGCATTATATCCTGTCTGTAATCGGCTATTATTATTTCATATTATTAATCACGCGTTTTTTGATGTTTTCAATTCTATCGTGTGGTCTAAAGCACTAACCTTACTTTTTTTTAACGCACCCCTACTCCAACATCTATCACTCCTGAAAGCCGGAAAAGGGAACTATATAGTTCAATATATTGTTTGGACAGCTAATTAGACAGCTGATTCATATCTGATTTTCATGAACCCCTTAATTATGATCTAGATAAATTATTTTATTATTTATTATAAAAATTAGGTTAATAATGATTTCACATTTGAGAGAGTAGAATTAAAATTGTAAAAAGCAGTTTAGTAAGAGACTGAGTAGACCAAGAGCAAATACACTAACCCTGCCCTCGGAGTTTAGAAAGAAGTCCTTTGATCCTGGCTGAGGACACAGGATTAATTTTTCTGTTTTAATATGTCCTCAACGTCCCTCATATCCTGGGGGGATAGCTTTGTCATTATGTACAGGATGGTCTCATTAGCAACATACCTTTCCCTTTCAGTCTTATAATTTTTTTCATGACTGGCACTATTATTTATCTTTTCAACAAATCGCTAGATTATTTCGATAAAGTTCTAACTGGCCTAAAAATAATATTAAGAAAAACGTGTCTCGAAACTTGATTTCCAACGCTCTTTTCATTGTTAACAAAATTTATCAATTTTGTCATCATTTCTTTGTTACGGTCTTTAATTTAGAAGAATTGTTCCTTGATAGATAGTTTTAGAGGATCTGCAAGGTCGTCCTTTAGGAACTTGGCATATCGAAGATTTGAAACCTCATCCAACATAAAATTCCCATTTTACTCCTAATTTTTTTTTCGAAAGGAAGGGGGAGAGTTTGTGACGAGAAAAAAAAATACAATAAAGAAACAATTATTAGTTCGTAAAATAATTGTTAGTTTGACCTCGAAGAGAGTTAGCTAAAAATAAATTAGATTTAAGTATTAGTTATAAATATTAATTTTAAGTCAGTATAACAGCCGACATATGAGAGAGAAAAGCAAAAGAGAGTTTAGAGTGAGATGGCGGAAACTAGCGAGTGTTGAGGCACGCTAAGGATTTTTGTGAGTGAAATACTTTAGCTTTACGGTGTACGCCGGATTTTTCGTTTGCTCTCAAAGAACATGTGATTATCAGCGAGGAGTGACGCTTGATTTTACAAGTTGGTGAATGAACATTTTCACAACTTGTGGAAATAAACTTGGGATACCCTGACGACGCTAGTTCGAATAAGATCCCGCTTCCTCAGATAATTCAATGTGCCAATTGGACAGAGTTCAACCATTGATATTTTGTAAATATGTATATATAAGTTTTTATTTTCTATCTATTTTTTTTAAATATTTTTAGTTGGTTTATTGTATAGTCTAAGTTAAACTTTAGTTCTATAATAATTATATATATTTTTTATTATAATTAAAGTTAATTGTATTTTCTTTGTTTTCTTATAAATCTAATTGTTTGTTTATAAGATATTTTTCATTTCCTTTAACAGTTATTTAAATCAAGATGCCAAAATAAGCCAGAAATAAGTAAATTCATCATTAATATTAAAAATAGCCAGTTTTATTTTCTTATTTTTCTTCAGTTCGTGTTCACGTATTATTTATATGTTATAATTTTTTTTTAAGGTTTAATAAGAAATTGTGAAACCCTATTCGAGGGATTAAGGACAATCAATATTAACCGAGTAAGAAGGTTCCATAGGTCTAATTAGCATACGTTTTTCAACCTATAGGTTCCGAGTTCGTAGCTCACTCCTCGTCCAAATTATTATTTTTTTTTTTTATCTTTTTCTCTATTTTCCAAATTAAACCAATTAAATAGCGTGGCACCTGTTAGATAGTTAGTAATATTTAATTGGCTCTTCATTAATTTTTTTTTTTTGCAAACCCTATCGTCTAAACTGAGCAAGTTTGTTGCGGAAACAATTTTTCTAAATTGAAGACCGTAACATCTTTAGGTTATTTTATTTTTAAAAATCGTGGAACGCTAGCTGTTACAAGTTATGTCAGGTAGACACAATTTCGCTCACGGAAACGTTACACTAGCAGACTGATGACCCTGATGATAACCTGAAGCTAATGCCGAAACATCGGCGTAAGGAAAATTAATATAATTTAGTTTTACTTTCTACTTCCAATGACTCCAATCTCCAACTAACTTCTCTTCAAAAATATTATACCTTTAGGTAGGCTATTTCAATAAGATTTATAGTAAGGTATTATACAGTCAAAATATTTGGACATCATCTTTTTGAATTAATATATTTATTTCTGGAATAGAACGTCCGTATTTTTACTTTCCTACCTATACTTTTAGCCATTGGTCAGTCTGTACAAAGATTTTCTCGGGAACTAGAAAACCGATTTTGTTGCTTCTTTTTTTATTTTGTAGGGTTTTGACTACCGATGCCTGTGACAGAAATTCGGTGCTCCATGCGCAATAGCTTGCGCGCAATAAATGAAAAACACGTTTTTCTGTAGCGCAAAAACGGCTCTAACGATTTTTATGAACCTTCCCTATAATTTTCTAATCATTATCATATCAATTTTCATATATAGACTAAATTCCCGAGAAAATATAGAAAAAAAGTTATAATGATAAGAAAAATGTTATGGGGCCTAACTCCCTAAGTATGTACAGGAAAATTCATAATACAATTTTTAAAGGTAATGAAATTCCCTACAAAACTTTATAAAACTCGTCCATTTTGGACAACTGATAACGAAGTTACAGCTATTCAATTTCCAATGTAAGATTACAGGTTCATATCCTGGTGTCAGAAATGGGTGAATGAGAGAAAAAATATGAGTAAGTGGAAGTAAGAAAATCTGTTGCCCGCATTACACAATCTTCACTATTTCCTCTACTTTTAACAGAAATTATTTTTGACAATACTAAGCTATGGTAAAAAGTTTATGATCAGCAATATTAGAGAGTATTGAAATTTTTACACTGATCTACCTTAAATTGGTTTACATTGCTTTAATTTATCAAATAAATCGTACTCAAATCTTTTCTTTGATCAATTTTCAGGAAAATAAATCTAGTTCAATTCTTTTTTTGTTTCTCATGAACTTATGTAAAGATATAAAAACTTTTCTGAAATAGGTAGGAAAGTCGTGTGAGTGGACACACGTGATGTTTTTTTTTTTTTATTTTTTTTTTTTAATCGTAAGTATGTTCTACTCTTCAGCCTGTTTCATTTTTCCTTATTAGCAATTATCATAATATTATAATAATATAAGCTATCGTTGTCCTGTTTCAGCTATAGAGCTGGTGGGCCCCTCGCACCGCACCATGGTGACAGTGCTCACGAACATCGCCTACTCTCTCGGACTGGTCGCCCTGGCGGTTGTCGCCTACCTGGTCAGGGACTGGCGGCAACTAGCGTTGGCCACCTCGGTCCCCTTCCTCACTTTCTTCTTGTACTGGTGGTAAGTGTCTTATAACTGTTAGCGAGAGTAAGTATTTATGTAGATGTAGCATACATAGTTCTGTCATAAATGCTGTTACAAAAGTTGATCATTGTTTACATCATTTGGTATTATTTAGATAATCCTTACTATAATAAATCAGGTTATTTTCTTTACATGTCTGGATAATAATCCCAATCAGTTTGTATTTTTCTTTCGCTCAGTTATCCATTCACAAAGAAGAAAAATGTAGATCAGAGATTTTCAACGCTGAAATCTTTGGGTATCAGCCGTATATTCGTGTACCTCACTATAAATAGATATAATGAGACCCTATCTGTATGTGACAGACCTCGCACTGTGAGAACGGCAAATGTAGTGAGAGCAATGGCTACTCAAATCAGTAGAAATCCCATATGAAAACAACAAATCATTTCGGAAAATGGGAATCTCTGTCTATAATAAAATCACATCAATGTCTATAATAAAAAGAGACCTTAGGATGAGTGCATTTCGAAGCATGACAGAAAAAAGGCTAACCACTTCCCTAAAAAAAAAATTGGAGTGGATAGATACAAAGTGTTCCTTGGCCGTTACACCAATGGTCTTCGTCGAAAGATTTTATTTAGCGATGAGAAAAGTTTTACAATTGAAGATAAATTTAATCGCCAAAATGATCGTGTGTACGCACACAGCTCTAAAAAAGCCATTGGAAGAGTGGAAACAGGTCATCACCCTTCGTCAGTGATAGTTTGGCACCACAAAGCTCCATTTTTGCGAAAAAGGATTCAAAACAACCGCTAAAAACTATCAGGATGATATTTTGGAACCTGTTGTTAAGCCTCTAAATGATACTCTGTTTGGCCCTCAGGAAGCTCTGACCTAAACCCACTTGATTATCGGCTTTGGTCCGAACTGAAGAGGATGGCACACCACAGAGCACACACCAACTTGGAAAGCCTCAAACGATCTCTGGTCCGAGCAATTGAGCGCTTTCCTCAAGAACTAAATACCTGTGTCAAGGCAAAAAAGGGATATTTTGAATAATTTCTTTTTGTTTTACTCTCTATAAATTTTTTTTTCTTGTAAAGTTTTAAAAAATTAATTTTTTTGTTGAAATCCGTATATATTTCCTTGTAACAATATTTATGACAGGATAGGTAGAAGAGAGAAGTTATGGAGAGATATCATAAGGAAATATTTCGCTGGTACTGCCTACCGTAGCAGATGGCAGTGACTGCGGGCAGTTTAGCGATCTTTTGAGGAAATAGAACGGTTGTTCTTCATTGTAACAGATATTACTATCATTCTTTAATAAAAAAAATTAATAAAGAAAAAAAGTTCGAAACTATTCTTTAATTCTCTAGTCGTCACTTTTCTTCAATCAATATGATATTATGAGGAAATCTATGAAGCTATATTGATATCCTTATGAATTAATTAAAATGAAGGCTGCAATGGCTAAGGGTTGTCCTCTTTATAGGTCTCCTGTGTAGCTAGAGAGGGGCGTAGCAATTTAGTTCGAGGCGAAATCAAGGAATAAATATCGATCTTTTCAACTCTGATTAGAATAAGTTTGGTTATATCTCTAGGACTCCAATGAGTATGCGAGAAATGGTTAGGCAGAGGCTAAAGAATAAATGAAACCATGCGTTTCAGCCGATTGCTGTTGAGAACCATAAATAACCAGGTAAATAAAATTTAGGTATATAAATTTCAAAATGGATGTAATATCAGTACTGAATTTAATCTCATAGAGCATTGTTTGGAAGGAAAATAATTTAACGGAACCAAATCGTCTTATATAGCACGATATATATATATATATATATATATATATATATATATATAGAGAGAGAGAGAGAGAGAGAGAGAGAGAGAGAGAGCACTGTGTATTTTTTCCAAGATAGTAAATCAAAACGTTTTTAGAAGGCATATTTTTACGAAGTTTTGGATTTTCGAGAGACGTGGGTTTAAAATTGAAGCCACTTTCAAACCGAGAAAACATTGTACTGACCACTAGTCCAACTAAAGTTTAGAACGGAAGTCCAACTGTATATGATAAGTATATGAACTAAAATCGAGGTTTTCACGCCGAAGTGAATTATAAAATCCTTGGACACGCAGATGATATAGCTGTCCTTGGAAGAAATCAAGAAGACGTTGAGAAACTCGCTGCAACACTGATAAGAGGGGCAAAGTAGATCAGCCTACGAGTAAATGAAGACAAAACAAAATATATTATAATAAGCTGGAAAGTCCACCCCAATAAAAGGATTTGCGTAGAAGGAAAATCATTACCGAGAGTAGAAAAATTCAAATATCTTAGCTCCACAATCACCTTAATGAATGAATGACTGGTAGACCAGCGTATAACTAGCACAAACAGAGCATTCTTCTCCCAATCAAAGGAATTGAAATCCCGATAAACCTCAAACTAAGGGTGTACAATGCTATGACAAAGCCAGTTCTAATATATGGCTGTGAGACCTGGACTCTAATAAGACAACTCTAAACCTAGAAAAAAGTGTTCTACCCTTAGAGCTACCCTTGTCAGCTACCTTTAAAGTAGCTTGATATCAGTGCTCGTAAACGGTGCTGAGATTGTCTGCGTGTCCCTGGCTTGAAGTACCGAGAATCATTTTTCAAAATACTGAAGAGGATCCTATATTGTATAAAATCAACGTAGTTTATTGAATTATAACTAATGTAATGACCCAATTAAACTAATTATATTAAAATAGAATACTGAATAGTCTATTAGAGAAATTTTATAATATTATATATATAGATATACATATTACATAAAAGGCTTTTTAGGGTGCTTCCAGAATCCCCCAGGTGGCTGTTGGCCCGAGGAAGATTCGACGAAGCCGAGAAAGTACTCAACACGATGGCAAGGGTCAACGGGAGGTGCCTCAACCCCAACTTCATCTTGGACATGAAGGTAGGCACAATAAATAATTATCAGTATTGTTGAGATATTAGTATAAGGAAGTTGTCAAATCTACAGGTATAATGGAAACAAACTTATTCTTATCTGTTATAGTCCGTGGTACAGACCCATTTATATCAAATTATTAATATCCACCTGAAACTTCGTGAATAGCTTCATCTCATCGTATCCTACGAATATTTTACTCACGAAAACTCTTGTAATTTTTAAAATAGAGATCGGAAAACTTTGTTAATTAGATACTAAAACCTCATGAATGCCCATTTGCTTGGATCGTAAGATAGTTTGAAAACCAAATCGAGAAAAAACGTGGCCTACAAAAATATTAGGCCGTTTGGCTTAGAGAACGTCGTTATTTTGGGGTTGCAGGTCACGCCAAACGGCCCAATATTATTAAAGTCCATCTTTTTTATTGATTTTGTGCTAACGTTATCTTATGATTGAAGTGGAAAGCAAATGGGAATTTACAAGTTTTTAGTACCGAATTAACTAGACAAAGTTTGCCGACCTCCAGATTGAAAACGCCCCAATTCCGAGAGTTTTCGTAAATAAAATATTTACGATATAAGTAAATAAAATAAGTTACGATGAGATGAAGCTATTTACGAAGTTTCAGCTGGATATTAATAATTTGATAAAAAGGGGTCTGTGCCAAGGAATGTTGTGCTGTATTATTCATTGTCAATATAATTTATTCTAGTATTAATAATAACTATCTTTGCTGATTTTACATTTATTACTTATTAGTATTTATATTTCTGATTATATTTTTTTTACTCCGTGGAATGGTCTACATCCTTAGTATATAACATTTAAAAAAATAATACATCCTTATTATTAAATGAGCGGGGTAGTTCAGTGAGTAGGACACTGACATCCAAAGCTCAAGGACCCGGATTCTAATCCGGCTGATGGAAGGTAATTATTTATACTATTTTATAAGTCGTGGATCGACCCTGGGATCAAGAGACCGTCTGGGGCACACCCAGCTTCTATTGAATGGGTAATCTTAATTAATTAATTGCGAGAAAACCTGACAATTTAGCGTGATTTTTGTCACCTCCTTGCACAACGTTTGACCGTACGTACTTACAAAGTAATGAATCGAAGACCCTTCATTGGTTGTAGTGATACAGGGTATCTTTATCATTATTATTATTATTAAATACTAATGTGGCTTATCCGGTGGAACAAGAACGCAATAGTAATTTTTTTTAATTGTAAAAGATATACTTGAGACAGATTGTAATATTTTTCAATAAATAATAAAAAATAAAAAATAATTGTAAAAAAAAAATATTTTAACCTATAAAGATATTAGTCACCCACTTACTGGTTGAATACCAGCAGTATGGACCAATAAGAAAAAACTGAAGTTGAGTTACAATATACGAGAAATCCTAGAAGACTCGGTAACTGGTGTCCAATCTCTTTAGGAATTCTTAAAGGAAATAAAGTTTAACCACCAAGTGTAGAAATGCCAATGACCCCTCTGAGTAAAGACATTATAAAAATATATATATATTGAAACGAATCAAGGTCATATAATAAAATAACCAAAAATTTGATGGGTAGTAATTTTATACTATACCAACCTTTAAAATATGTGATTTATATTATAATTGTTTGGTTTATGGATCATTTTAATCTATGAGTATTTCCATTATAGAGAGAATTAGGTCGTTCTTAGTATTGCATTGTATATAGACTTTAGGTAAACTAGAGCTTTTCTAGTCATTTCCTAGAGCACTTGAGCATTTATCAGGTTCTGGCCAGGGGCTTTCTCTTTAGGTACTTGTCTTATTTGTTCTGCAACAAGTTTCGGAGTGAAGTAAGGTGAGGTAGTTTTAATTTTAATGGAATGTCTAAAGTGTTTAGTGCTTGTTTTTCGTGTTCAACAGTTTTTTTTTTATTATATTTTATTGAATAATAATAAAATCAGCCACTGTTGGAGGGCTATAAGTATTAAGGCTAGAAGTTCTCATTCATACAGTATATACAAGTAATACAGAAGTAACTATAAATATAAAAAGTAAATAAATAATACTTATAAAAAAATGTAAATCAATAGAAAAAAAAATAAACAAACAAAATAAAATAAAAACTTCTAAACACATTCATACCTGTATACAATATATATATTCCCCCAGGAATCTCCGAGCCAGGCTTTTCTCCCCACATGTGGAAGGAAAAGCAGGACTCCAGAGATCCCAGTGCCACTTTTTCAGTCGCATCACTAGTATTAAAAGCCAGTGTTAGCTGAAGGAAGGCACTAGAGCCACAGATGCTCAGGGCTTGAGTGGAGAAGCTGGCCATTGCCAGGACTCCAGAAGTAAGTGTTCAACAGTCAACGACCACATATAGACAAATTACAAAATATTTCACGATGTCTTACATAAGTATGGCTACATTTAACATGTCAGAAAACACACTTAGGAGACTCAAAAAGAGCTGAATGGATTTCCTAGCTTAAAAAAACCTTAAAATCAAGACAGGAAGGGATGTCACAGGGCACTCTTATCCCTCAAGCCGATCAAGCCACTACCAGAATTGTTCCCGACCTCATACTCGTTCATTGTCAGTACTTTTGGCAGGTGTGGGTGAAAAAATAGAGTTAAAATAAATATATAATTCTTTTAATTATTTAGCCTCTACTATAAAATTATATTTCTAGTCATGTAATTTTTCCACCGATATTATGTTATGATTATAGAACTGATTTTTCATTGTAAACAAAATTTAGCCAAAAAAATGATTTCTAAAAAAGAACGTGAATTTATTTCTATTTTTTGTTTTTATTAACAAACAGTTATAATGAATGCAATCGACTCACTACAAAACTGCAAAATAACGTTTTATATTAAAAAACATTTCTATATTCCATACATATTCAAGTGACTTGAGTGATTCAAACAAGTTGAGAACAGTAAACAAACAAAAATAAAATGAGAAAAGACAAACAAGATTGAACAAGTGGAGTAAACTTGAACCTCCTCGAGCGCACGTCCCGAGGAGAAGTGAAGCGAAGGATATTGGAGGCTGCCTCTGGAACCCGAAGACAGATGGCGGTATTGGATGTCTAATGAAATTTCCGAAGGGTAAGTGGCGGGGGGGGAGGGGATTCTCCGACAGAACTTTGTCCCGGCTTTGAAAACTTGAATTCGTCAGCCGAGGAGCAAATTGTGTATATTTAATATAATCATACAATCCGAATGATACGCATTAAATAAACAGCTGTAAAGTCAATAATGTAAACTATGGTAATATGATTGTCAGAACACATCATTATTCATGAATACAGTGTGAATATTATACAGCGGTGGCAAAGCGAATGGTAATTATTGTTAATCCAACAAACTGTGATCTGCTTAAGTTATAAAAATATATAATAGCATTCCATTAATATGTTTAATTGAAAATCATATTATTGTTTACTATTTAACACTTTTACATTATTAATATTATAATTAATACTATTAGCAAATCTGCAGACTGACCCATAAGTTTTATTTGAATCAATTTATTAGTGAATGCCCCTGCTAGCAAAAGCGTTGGATGTCCAAACGCTTTGGTGTTTCAATTGATCGTGTTTAAAAGCGTCGAATTCTAGTCAAAAATACTGGCCAACTGAACTACTTGAATTAACAAAACGCCAGTCAATATAAATATATACTCGTATATGAAAGAAGGAGATGATCCGGGGTGGGGTTCATAAATAGACTAAAAAGTGGCAAAACTATTTTATTAACGTTTCGACCCGACTTTGCAGGTCTTCTTCAGGGCTAGAACGGACAAGATACAAAAAGATATAGAGAATCGTGCAAGTTACATCATATTTAGATAAAAAAAATTATAAATAATGTGATTAAACTTATTAAAATTATAAATAGTAAGTACATTAAAATATTATGAACAATAAGTTGTTTAAACAGAGTGTTGGATTTACATCCAAAATTTTATTGTTTATTAAATTGTAATTTGACCTGTATGAATAACACGGGGGGCCCCGGTCTCATCCTGCACTACCCTCTCCCTAAGACGGCGTTATCTAACCAGACGGTTCCTAATTTTTCCTTTTGTTCGTATATTAATTCTCCAGCATCCAAATAATTCAGATCTCGCTATACAGTCTATGAATTTATTGCATTATTTCAACTTTCAGCTTAGATGCATTTAGCGTGATTTATGATTGTCAGTTCATAAATATGAGAATAACATACGTACACTATAAAATACGAGCAAATTATTAAATCATGTAACTGTTCTTATTAATATTTTTTCATCATTATTAAAATTGTAGCATTTTAATTTATAAACAATTTTACGCAAACTTATTTATATATATTTCAATTCTTGAATTATTTTTCATATTTATTATTGTTAAGTGTGTGTATGTTTTCATATTTTATTTATCATTAAAAAAATGATAAGAGTTGCATAGGAAGTAGGCTGACCATGCGGCTAACAAGTGTACATAAAACTCGTTGCCCGGCAACCCGAGAAACTATTATTAAGTATTTTAACTACAAGTGGAGATCATCGCAGACTTTATATTTTATAGAGCCTTATTACACGGTTAAGTTTCACGAACGATTTCAGGATTGTAGTATTTTTAATGATAGATGGGTCAAGAAAGAGATGCAGCGGCCGAAGCGTTAGAAACACCCGCATTTCCTTGCAACTTAATAAACTAATGATTAAGAGTTCTAGTCCGTCTGCCGGGGGCTTTTAACTCTGGCATTAAGCACCCGTCCTCTTCCTTGGGCCCAGGAAAACCCAGGAATAGCCAGAAAGTTAGAGAAGGAAAAAAGGAATAGTTGAGCATTGCGTAAATTAGGCAAACATGCGTAAAATAGACAACATTTTTTTAACAGTTTATTAATTTGAGTACTATCAGAGGATAGTTTCTCAACAATCGATTTCATGTTATTATATTCCTGAGTGCACATTTACTAGCTTTATTTTTTTTATAATATAGTTGTAAATATCAATGCATACGAAATAAAAATAAAAAAAGTTTATAAAAAAATTTTTTTTTTAAGATTTAGGTATTTTTATTTTTCGAATAATTTTCGGATATTGTTCAGTTAATCATATGTACACTCCATGAGTATAATACAGGTATTTAAAAAAAATATTGTTCAATGATCTTGAAATTGAATGACGCGTCATGAAGAGACTAAAGACATAGGCGCCATGGGTATACCTTACCGCAATGTCATTGCAAATTGTCTAGCTCAAATGATTGAAGGCGTAAACTCTTGTACGGTTCTTGTTTGTTTGTTTCGATGTCTAAGCGCAAAACATCCAGGTCATAAGCGCCCGATCAACTAAATAACATCATTTAATACTATTTCGATGATTGGTACAAAAAAAAAAATAAATAAATAAAAAAATAAATAAATAAATAAAATAAAATAAATAAAGAAATGGATTGATAGAATAAAATAAATAAATAAGGATAATAATAGACATTTATAGGTACTAAGATGTATAAAAAATGTATAAATAAATAAACTTTAAAAAATAGCAGTAGAATCAATTAAAAAAAAAGAAAAAAAAAAAAAAAGAGAAAATATAATAAAAATAAATAGATAAAAAGGAAATTAATAAATAAAAAAATAAATAAAAAAAAGCCTGTCAAATGTGTTTTTAAAGTCCTTCACTATCCATAAACTTGATGACTTTGGTAACTATTTCTTCTTGATTTCCCAGGGATGCTGATATATTCTGGGGTATTCGAAAATCTTTCAATCTTGCGGCGTAAAAAGGGCATTCTTCCAAAATATGTTTTATAGTTAGTGATTGGTTACACTTTTGACATCGGGGGATAGAATCTTTTGTTATGAGGTGGAGGTGAGTCAGTCTAGTATGTCCGATCCTCAGCCGCGTCAGGACGACATCTTCTCTACGACTGCTGCGTCTGGAGCTGGTCCACGGTTGCACCTCTTTCTTTATTGTTTTTAATTTGCTAGGTGCGCTGTTGTCCCACCGTCTTTGCCATTCTTGGAATATGGTTTCTCTCAGAGGTCGTGCAAGTTCAGGTGGTGTCAAAAAAATTTTACCGCGGCCTGGAAGAGTAAGAGCTTCCTTTGCTGCTCTATCAGCCATTTCATTTCCTTTAATTCCTATATGGCCAGGCGACCAGATAAAATGTGCCGTTGTTCCAACTCCATGAAGTATTTTTATAAGACTTAGAATGCAGTGTATCCCTGGATGGTCTGGATACATGTTATTCATAGCTTTCAGAGTACTTAGGGAATCCGATACAACAACCACATTTGCAACTGGCTTCTTCATGACATATCGGAGACTCATTGCTACGGCGTTAATCTCTGCTGTGTAAACACTACAAAGATGGTGTAATTTATATTTGTAGGTAGTATCAGGAGTGACAAAGGCTGAAGCAGTAGATGTATCTGATTTGGATCCGTCGGTGAATATTAGAAGATTAGGCCGGTTCTTATTCCACACATTACATACTATATCCCCATTCCCTTTACTATATACTTACATTACCTTTATTTAATTTTTACTCTTTATATTTTAAATTAAACACGCTATTATATTTCATGATTGAAAAATAGTATATGTTATAATACATACAGATACAGAAACATTGCAGAATGAAGAAGGACAATTCATAAGTACACTTTTTTCTGTAGGTCAATCTCTCATTTCAATATCTTGCATAAAATAATTCTCTTTATCATATAAAAAAGTTGTTAGTGATTGTCATAGCCAATTGTATATCAAATTTACATGTTATATATAATAACTATATATACATAATATCTACATATGGTATATTATACAAAGCGAGACGGACCGTAAAGAAGACACCACCTGGACGAACTTTAATTATTCCCAGAATAAATTATCCCTCATTGCGGTTACAAATTTTCAATAAGAATAATTATAATTATATTATAATATAAATTGCTGTTCCTCAAGTCTCACATGTCATTATATCCCAAAATACTAACGTCTAGTAAATACAACTTTTAACTTAAAAAAGTTGTTTTTTTTTTCATTGAAAGGGCTATTTCGTTTCACTTTTAACAATATTGAATTTAGATATACAAACTCTGGATTTATTAAACATTGAATACGCAGAAGATAATTTGAATATAAAATCAATTCGTAAATAAATCTACACAATGTCTGAACGATAATTACTTTCATTTAAATTTCTATTTGGTCAGAAGTATTAGTTTTCCGGGTTCGCCAGTTTGTCAACAAATTTATTCAGATCAGTTTAATATTCGGTCATCTGTCACTGATACTGTCATCGTCAATATTTAAAACTGACTAAATTGAGAGAAAAGTGTAGTTAAATTCCATATGTTTTGTACATCACCTGATATTGATAAATCGTAGGAAATAAGTAATGGAATGTTTATAATTGATATTAATTGTGTGGAAACATGAGAGAAAGTTATATTTCTAGTGAATGCAGTTCGCCTTATGCAATTTTTATTTTTAATAACTTACGTATGTCAATCACTCATAACAAATTCTATAATAATTATAAATAAAATTTTAAAAATATAATAATCAATACCATAAGAATACACTAACAATAAATTATTTTTAATAGGAATTTACATTGATTAAAAACAATTATATAAATAAAATTTGGTGTACACGTCACACGACTTTCACATACCACGCCTTTTAGCAGAAATAACTTTTTTCAGACAAAGGGGAAGTGAAAGTAAAAATTACAGACTCTATATTTATTTACTTTTGATTGTGGGCATTTTTATTTGTTAAATTATCCTTATATATGCAAATATTAATTTTTATATCGCTGTAATGTATACAATTAAATATTAAGTTATACCAACAATAGCATTTATGAAAACCGTATATGTATATCTTCCTTATGCACATGCATATGCGTACGTATATTGTCGGAGTCCGTATTATATTAAGCTCATGTTACGTATGAAAGCGTGGTCTAATCTTTCGAGTGAGCTCAGGCAAGCTCGTATTGGTTCCTGCATTACAACCATTACCCGTTACGATCTCTTATTTCTCCTTTAGTTAATTATTTTTTTATTATTTTATATTTAACTATTTTTATATCATAGATTAATGTGAAATGGTTAATTATTTCAACAACAAAAAAATTAAAGGTACTTTAGAGGCAGCTAATATTGAAAGTTCGACATTTAAATCCTGTTAGAAAACATTAATGAGAATAAAACCAACATCATATTAAAAACTGCTTAATAATTCACTGTTATAACAGTTTAGTAAAAATATTTAGAGCCATTTTTTGAGAAAATCGTAAAATTGATTAAATCGATCATATAAAGCATCACTTCGGTTTTCCGATTTAAAAAAAATGTTGCTGTAATATCTCAAGTTTATGACAACCTTAAATACACAATTTCAGTCAGGTACGACATTTCGTTTTTTAGCTAGGCTTTTCAAATACGTACACAAAGGCTATTTTGAGAGACTTGGTTATTTGGACTCAGGGGACCTCAAAACGTGTATTTCCGTTGAAAACTCAGATTCGAAAGTTTTCACGTTCGAAATACTTATCCTTACTATAATTACATACATAGGTAACTGGAAATAAAAATACGTAATAAGTTTGAAGATAACGATGGATATAATTTTCTCGAACGTATTAAAGTAATGTTAAAGGATTCCATTTGGTATTATGTGTCAATGCATAGAACTACATTACTTCATTATGTCTCATGTTGCTATGAACCATAGCGAGGAGCGGTATGCCATCCGTAGTTAATATATGTTCCCTTAAGAATCAATGTGGCAGTACCCTTCCCTATGTCTCACTCGAATTCATCAACATTGACTATAAGACTTAGATCTATGGATTATGGATGGAAACGGTCACAAATCTTAAAAATTGTTCTCGCGGGCCGTCCATTGGCTAAAAGGAACTCGAGGTATCCGCAAACCACAATTAAAAACCTGTATTTTATCTAATTCAAACAGTTTATGAGAACTCACATAATAATCTACTGCAAAATTATATTCTTATTCTATTGCCTGTTTCTAGATCTTGGAATTTAATTAAATATTCTATAGCTTTCTAATCAAGTTATGAATAATATATAATCTTGTTTTTATTTTCTATAGAGAAAATACCAAGTGGAGAGGTTTTCGAAGGAGAAATGCAGCGAAGAAAGGAGCTATGGAGTCATGGACCTCTTCAGGACACCCAATCTCAGGAGGAAGACTATTATAATCACCTTTATATGGTAATTAATTATATTCATAAATCCTCTCCATCAACACTTCAAAGATAAAAAACTGATCCTATACATCAGGCAATATCCATATACCACATTACTTAAAATTTTACTTTAATCTATATTGATAAAAACGTAAATGTTCGTTTGTTCAAAACCGCTTATCTCCGAAACTTCTTCATCGATTGCTTAGAAATATTGAAATAATGTTTCTATCGGATTCAGGAGTGTTTTATATACATTTAATAATCAACCAATCTTTCGTTTCGGAAATGTGGCCGAAAAACCTGCGCCACTATAGCGCCTAAACGGCTGTAACGATTTTAATTAAACTTGGCTAAAGCCTTCTCCTTAAAGGCCTTTTAATTTATGTAAATAACATCCTTCCCCGAGAAGAGTATGAAAAAAAAAAGTTACGATGGATTCAAAACTATATTTGCGAATGACTCAAAAAGTATACAATTTTTGTTTGATTATACCTATCATTATTTTAAAGCTTCCTTGATTCCTTGCAAATAATAAAAAATCACTGAAATCTGACGATTGGTGCAGAGATATAAAGCTTTAATCTTTTAGTAATTTTTCTTGGGAAATTTAGAGACCGATTGCTCCTTATATAGACAATTATATGTTGCGAATTCTACAGTTGGAAAACTAGACAATCTCTATATCTATACAAAGAATGGAACAAAAAAGAATATAGTATATTCACAAGTATTGTTACATAAAATATATTAGAAACGTCTGATTTCTTTTCTATTTATTTTTTTATTTAACCAGAATGAGCCACAGCAACGCGTGGCCGGGTACAGCTAGTTATAGATAAAAGCTTAAGATAATTATAAGTATATTTCAGTGAGCGGCTAAGGCGCTTGTAATAGATAATCAAAGTAGGCAAGGTTAAGCCTGGTATGTACTTGGATGAGTGACTGTACTCCGAGAAAAAGAAAACAGAAACATTCCCTCTAGAGAGTCGTAGGAAGGACACAGCCAGATTGGGCCCAAAGGTGATTGTACCATGGAGACCATGAACCGAAGCAACGTGAGGATTGGTGACCCCCTATAGGCTATCTATTCTTCTTTAAGTCATATAGGACTGTATGGAAACCATACATCGCGGTCAAATACATGGTCTGTAGAGCCAACCGAAAAAGATTTATTATTTATATAATTTTAGGTGCTGAAAAAATCTATGAATTCCAAGTTGTTGTTTTATTGAATTATAGCTGTGGTGAAAGAGTGTGAAGAAAATAAGAATTAATGCTGAAAATTCAAGAGTTCGGACTTGTTCTTGTATAAATAAAAGAAAGTAAAACAAAAAAAAAAGTCGACAGGTAGTGATAAAACTCAAGTTAGATAGATAGAAAGTAAACTTTATTCTGGGACGAGATCCCTTATGAATAAAAGTTATGAACAAGAAAATTAAAACTACATCTGGCCAAAAATTACATTAATCAGTATTAAAGAAAATATACAGTATCTCAGTAAAAGTATATTAAAACAAGTAAAAATAACACCATTTTGAAAAACAAAACAAAACATTATTTAAATGAAAAAAACAAACAAAATAATGTAAGCATGGGTTGATTAAAATCCGCCAGAATCTTCGAAAATAGCTACATCTCATCGGAATATACATATATTTTATTTACAAAAATTCACGGAATTGGGGCGTTTTCAATCTGGAGATCGGCAAACTTTGTTTATTTAATTTGGTACTAAAAACTCGTAAATACCCATTTTCTTTCCACTTTGTAAGATAATTTGAGCGCAAAATCGAAAAAAAAGTTTGCCTCCAAAATTATTGAGGCGTTTGGTGTGACCTTCACGTCCAAATTATCAAAATAATCAGGTTATATAGGCCAAACCACTCAATATTTTTGTATGCCATCTTTTTTTATTTATTTTGTGACCAAATTATCTTACGATCCAAATGTATAAAAGTTTGCCGATCCCCTAATTGAATACATACGAACTCCGAGAATTTCCTTAAATAAAATATTTGTAGGTTACAATGAAATGAAATATTTACAAAGTTTCAGACGGATTTTAATAATTATATAGAAATGGCTCTGTGCCATGGACTATATTATATAAATGATATCCATCAACAATAAACTTATGACTGAAACAAATCAAATAACGTTAACCATTTTTGAATAATTGCTGACAGTGGAAACTTCAGGTTTGCTTTTATCCTTTTTTTCCTTCTTTTTTTTTTAATTTATCCTGTGTGGATAATATTTTCCGCCCGGGAAGCTTTTCAGGAGGGCGATAAGCCATTTTATTAAACGGCTCAGTGAATATCGAGACAGGAGCTACCTTATTTTTTATGCCAGTGCGGGACATCAACGCTAATGAAATTCGAGCTCCTTCACACTCAACTGGTTAATCATTTTGTAGGAGACGTTTTCTGTCGAATATTGTCATAATATATGCTTCTTTTTTTTCATCTTGCTAAATTTCAACATTGGTTTTAAATTAATTGGTGGTATTCAACGATGTTTGGCTTGGCCCGAATTGTTATAAATAAATAAATAATATATTATTAAAAAAAACTAAGGTGTGTGCTTTAGACCACACGATAGAAATGAAAACATCAACAAGTCGAGATTAATAATATTAAATGTAAATTATAAATAGCAGCTCATTATAAAGAGGATGAAATGCTGGACATTTTCCTCGCTTACAGTATGCATGTCCAATTTTTAGTTTTTGAGATATTTTAATCCATATGTAAAAATACTTCAATTAGTCTACTTCAGTTGACCCGAGAATCACACATTGGATATACGAAGGCTAATTCACTCTCCAGAAAAAAAAGTCAAACGCGCCTAAAGAAATTTTTACTTCGAAAAATTGTCCCAGATGGATCCTAAAATATAATCAAATAAGAAGAATATATTTGCATACCTAATATTGGTAAATTTTTAGTAATATTTTTCTCTATTTTTTTCACCCCTCTCTCATATTTTCGGCTATGCGGTATTTTTCTCGGACAAGGAGAGAGGATGGGGTGGTTAGGGGTGGTATGTAACGCCAGAGTTACCCCCTGTACCGATGAAGGGATGCTAGCACTACAATCAACCTTTTTTTGAACTACAAGTGCAATGGTTTAATTTTGGGGTTGCCTTCCCATAGACAGGTGGTCTTCCCCTTGACAGATTGCCATCACTGTGGCTATGAGTCCTGTCCACCGAAGTCGCAGTTTAACGTCATGCCCGGGACGACTAAAGACTTAATTAAAAAATATATATCCATAGACCAAAAGCTAAGAAAAATTGTCACCTATCTCGAAAGAGACTAACAATTATTAAAATCCACCGAATCAAGTGGAAAAGGATGCCGGACCAAGTTGGACACAGCAGAGAGGTAGTTTTTTAGGAACAACTCAGATTGGCATCCCTCTAACACTTGAGAACGGACAAGAGACTTAAATAAATAACAAAATATCTAAGAACCAAATGCTAAGTCCACTCGGGCAGCTGATATATTGATGGACGTCAACTTTATTTTATAATTTTATAGTTGAAATGCAATAATTTTAAGTATAAATACAAATATTTTCTTCCCTTTACATGTTGTAGGATTATTTTCGTAGTCTTTTTTTGTTTTAATTAAATCATTTAATGCTTAGAAATAAGCACCGCAGTCCAATAAGCACTAAAGATACTTTCCAGTAGTTATCGACAACTCTATTCCAGGTTCACTAACACCAGCGTGTACGTAGGCCTGTCCTACTACGCGGCCCTCCTCGGAGGGGACGAGTTCCTCAACTTCTTGCTGGCGGGCGCCGTCGAGCTGCCTACCTACCTCGTCCTCTGGCCCAGCGTGGAGAAGCTAGGTCGGCGGTGGACGCTCTGCATCAGCATGCTGATTGGCGGGGTGGCCTGTCTTGCCACGCTACTCTCTCAACATGGCAAGTTTTAAAATATAAAATTTATTTAGATGCTCCAGGATAATTATGGTATCCTTAAAATAATTCCTAAGGTTAGATGCCCCTATATCTCCAAATACCCGACATCGCCTAGTCCACGAATTCTCAATTTATGGTATGGGACAAAGCAAAAGAATAAAATAATAATGACAGTGGATCAATATATGATGTTTTTGATTGAAATTTCTAGTCAGTAAAATAAATAATAAGTTATATATACATATATATTTATAACTTTTCTTTAATCGACCTCTGAGTATTAAATTTTTTTTTTGTCTATAAAATATGTATTTGCGCCTGTCAACAATAAGTTGACAATCAGCAAATGTGATGGCGATAATGATAAAATGACATGACAGGCATGGGGAAGGAAGTACTCAGCAGTACCTCTTCCCTAACTTGTTCCAATTACTTAGGTTGTCTAAGGAAGGAGATCCCTCATCCAACGCCTTTTTAGTCTCCTGCTCATGTTCTGAGGTATGTCAGCTGTGGCCATGTCTCTTATAAGTCTGTTATTATGTCCATTTAAATTTGTGTAAAATCGTTGATATAGGGTCGTTATATGTTGGTCAACTGTTGGAAAGTGGAGGTCAGTATGTAGAGTTTTGTTAGTCACGTACCAAGGTGCTTTTGTTATGAGTCGCAATAATTTTGATTGGAACGTTTCAAGTTATTGTAGGTGGGTCTTTTTAGCGATGCCGTATATTTGTGATGAGTATGTCCATATGGGCTTAAGTAAGTATGTATATGTATTCAGTTTCTGTTTTAGTTTTAGTTTTGAAGATTTGGCAAAAAGAGAGTACAGTAGTTTGAGTCGTTTGTTAAGTGTCATGCGTTTCATTTTAACATGTGAGCCCCATGTCATCCTTCTGTCGAAGGTGAGTCCAAGGTAAAGTACCATGTCCGTTTGAGGAATTTGATTGTTGCCAATATAAACTGGAGGACAGGTGTTTTTTCGAAGAGTAAATGTTATATGTTTGGATTTGTCATGATTAAGTCGAATTTTCCGTAGTGTGAACCAATCTGGTAGTTTAAGTAAATGATGTTGTAGAGTTGGTGAGGCCTGTGTAGGGTCTTGATGTTTTGTAAGGATTGCTGTATCGTCTGCATATGTAGCTCTCAAGATCTCATCGTCAATAGGTATATCGTAAGTGTATATAACGTAAAGTAGAGGGGCTAGTATTGAACCTTGGGGAGCTCCGGCCAAGATTGGACGGACTGAAGACACTTCCGAGCCCTGCCGAACTGAAAAAAATCTGTCAAAGAGGAAAGATTGAAGGATAAGATAGTACGTGTATGGAAGTATAGTCTTAAGTTTAAAGAGAAGACCCTGGTACCAGACTCTATCAAACGCCTGAGCAACATCCAAAAATACTCCAGTTGCATATACTTTTTGTTCTAAAGCTCCAGCAATGTAGTCTGTAACTCTGTGCAATTGATGTGTCGTCGAATGGAATGTGCGAAAGCCGAATTGGTGGTCAGGTATTACCTGTTGGTCAGTCAATATGTCAACAAGTCTTTTGTATATTAATTTTTCAAAAACTTTAGAGCATATAGGAAGGAGGCTAATGAGTCTGTCGGATGAAGGACTGTATATGTCTTTACCGGGTTTGTGAATCATCTTAATAAGTGAGTATTTCCATTGTAAAGGGAATTTTGACGTCCTTAGTATGCAGTTGTAAATTGTTGTCAGAAATACTAGAGCTTTCTTGGGCATTTGTTGGAGTGCTTTGGCTGTCATTAAGTCATAACCATTTTAACATGATTATTTAATTGGGAATAAGGTCACTCATTAATTATTCAATAAACTACTAAATCTCTAATGCATCTGTGTTTATTAGACGTTTCGATATCGGGTATTCATAAGTTAACAATTGGATCCTCTTCAAAGTTTTAAAAAAGAGCCTCGATACTTCAAGCCAGGGATACACCGACAGTCTCAGTACCGTCCAATAGCACATATATTAAGCTACTGAATTATATGTGCCATTAGTTTACTGAATTATATAAAGCACATATATTAAATTACTGAATTATGTGTCCCATTAGTTTACTGAATTATATAAAGCCGGTATATTAATATATGGTGGACGGTGCTGAGGCAGTCGGTGAGTCCCTGATCTGAGGTATCGAAGCTCTATTTTAAAACTATGGAGACTTATAAAATGTTGACTTATAAAAAACCGAGATCGAAACGTCGAATAATCACAGAAGCATTGGACATTTAGTAGGTTATTGAATAATTAATAAGTGACCTTGTCAAAGTTGGCAAAATGATTAAATGATAGAATTTGAAAAAAAACAGGTGTTGTGATTAGATTTATTTTTTTTAAGGAAGGTGATAAGGTCAGAGAGTGTGATACAGACTGAAAACGTTGTTTTGATTATATTGTGAAAAAATTTTTTCATTATTTTTGGCTTAAGTTGATCATATTCTAAATAAATTGGCTAATTATGGAGATGTTGTCACTTATTTAATACCACCTGTAAAGAAGAAATAGTCAGTAAGCAAGAACTCACTCTCCTCCACATTTTTAATTATGATTTTACAATTATAATTTTAACATTAAGTTGATGTTTAAAGGAACGTTACAACCTTATTCCCAATTAAATAATTATGTGAAATATATATATTGTTTCCTTTGTACCGACGTTTCGATTTAACTTTCAATCCTTCAATAGGGTTAAACAAAGACAAGATAAAAAAAAAATAATATAATTTCTTTGTTTTTAATTTGGATTTTCACTGACTGAAAACCGCAACTAATTTCTCTTCAATTAAATAATAATAATTTTTTTTAAAAATCATAACGGTTTCAGTTCTCATCATTTCTGATTGAAATAGAGATGAAAATTTATTCAGTGGAAGAGTCAATTGGATCAAAAGGATAAGTGACATTATAAAGGATAAAGGCGTGAAGTGAAATATTTTTAATGTTTCCTCCTTCAATTCAAATAAATTCAATATTTCCTTCATGGAAGAGTTGACAGAGGTGCCCATTGAGAATTCACGTCAGCCTTATTGTGAATAAAGATAATTTTATTTCAGTTTTCTCAAAATAACAAATGTTATTTATCACCTTTGTCCAATTTACACTTCAATTGTTTCATCAATGCTTCTCTGAACAAAGTGAATAAAAGTTCAAGGGTCAGATTTAATAATTGCGATGGCGCTCCAGCAGATGTCCAGAAAAGAACTAGTGGTTCCTTAAGACAATATATAACTATTATGAAGGACAACTTAATTCCCAATGTGGAAATACTCATTCACCAAATAATACACAACAGAGATAAAGTCATACACAAACGTACAACCTATTTATATAAAATCTATATTAAGCCATACACTATACACAGAAAACCTATTTATTACTAGAGGCCACAATTTATTGTCCATTATTGGTAATTGCCCGTGGACAAGGAATTTTTAATCTGATTTTTTTTTAAGGGTCCTCCCCTTCCTCACCGTTAAGGCTATACGGGGTTTTCCCAGGCCAGGGGGTGTGGGCGGGGATTTAAAAGACGCCTTGGCACCGGGACGCGAATTCAGGACTATTTTTGGGTTATTCTAGAGGTGCAACCAATCTATTTCAACCAGAATGGGAATGTCGAGATTGTTTCCGTGGGTCCGTCACGAAATAAATTTTATTCCGCCCAGACCGGATTAGAATCAGCGCCATTAGAATATAGGTGGCTAAGATTAGAATTTATAAACGCGTGAACAGAATTTATAATCTTATTATAGAATTAAGATAATCTCATAAAATGAGTCTGAATCCAGGTTGCGTAGGAGGGACTTTTAACTCTGGCATTAAACCCTCTAGGTGGCTAAAATTAGGGGTAGGGGGTGTCGTGTGGAGACTGAACAACACGGATCGACAATAGTTTTATAACAATAAATATGAATTCCTGTTCCGGTGCCCTAGGAGGGGGCTTTTAATTCTGGCATTAATCCCTCACTCTCATCTCCTGGCCCGGTAAAAAACCCGTATAGTCTAAAAGATGAGGAAGGAGAGGACAAAAATAAAATAATGCGGCCTTTTAAAAATTAATAAGCCTTTTAACGCTCGGCTATATTCTTATGGCCTCATCTAGTTTTACGCAGTCACTCGATAGATTTTCCTTAAGTTTAAAAACAATAATAAAGTTTTCGAGTAATGTCATACCAGTTTACAGAGCTAAACCAATTGTCATCAAAGTAAACACATTTGTTTTAATGAACTTCAACATTTAAAATTGAATATATTTCGGTTAATTAGCTGATACCGTTCGTAAGCCCTCAAGGACTTAACTAAACTATTCACTTCTGTAATTGCTCAAGTTTGGACAGGGATCCAACTCTCCACTCCAATTGCCTTTCTTGAGCCATTTAGTCAGTTATATCCACCTCATAACTGGAGGAGTTTATTTATTATCTAAATTCAAAGTTTGCTTTTCAATTAATAAATTAATAACTTTAAATTACGACTGTTTAATTAATATCTTTCAAGTAACGCAGTAGTTAAAGTTTAAGACATTTTCTGCCGAACTAAAAACCTTTCAAATAAATGTGAATGAAATTATATTAATGCCAAGGACGTAACCAGATGAAAACTCAAGGAGATGCAATTGTTAAAGTTTGAGGGAAGATTTTTTAGTAATTAATTTCTCTCCATTTTTTCCAAATCAAAATTTAAAATTTGACAAAAACTAAACACATACTCTTTACAACTCAAATCCATCAGGACATTACATTTTCAACATATATTCGTCCCTATGACGAAAATTTGTCGTTTCGCAAACAATTACCAATCACCTGGCTATTGGTAATTGTTAACGAAAATTCGTTATTTATTTATTACTTTTTTTTTATTTGAAAATTAATACATTCTGCCGCATTGGAGGCCATTAATATTAGGGCTGCATTAAACATTCACACAATATATAGATATACATACACATAATAGGAAAGAAAAAAAAAAGCTAAATGAAATTAAAATATATATAAAACACA